ATTTTGTATGGTACCCGAAAAAATAAAACACTAAAAGTTTGACCGCCTCCATAACAAAAACTGACCGAGATTAATTAAACTTGTCATCGTGTTCAAGGTCGTACACAAATAGAAAAGTGAACTGTTTGCATTCGTACGTAATTAAAAATTATATATCAGTTCAAATAAACAAATAAAGTTTTCTGAAATTAAGTGAGGGGCACTGCTATGCAGACTGTTTTGAAACGTAATGATTAATATATTGCGTAGTCGTCATGGCTGAGGTTGAAGACATACAGACGAAGCTAACAAAACTGGATTTTAAGAATCACCATCTTTATTTTTACACATATCAAATCATTTCTTTGGCAGATCATCAAGTTACTTTTCGATAATAGTTGAATACAATAATTTCTATGTACACATGTTAAAAAGTACGACATCATTTTAGACAGGAAAGCATAGCAGCGCATGGATGTTTGCAGGGCAGAAGTTTTAAGAAAAGGAATGACGTAATTGCTCGCGAAGCAGTATTTATAATACGTAGGTGTATAAGTACAGATAAGCTGTGATTGGTTAATTTTAGGTTTTAGTTTCCTTTTTCAAGCAGTGTTATGTAACATGGAAAAATCTCGAATTTGCGAGAACAGCTGAACTTAGGGGGAGAACATAAAATCTAGAATAGTCAGTTTTGAGGTTGCCAATCATTTCTTAGCATAGCCATCGTATTTTATTATAGCTTACACACATATACATATAGTATGTAAATATCGTACGTTATAGATAATCACGAATAAGTATTTGAACATTGGCTAACTAACTAGGCAGAGTTTGAAGACGTCAGTATTCTGAGGATTAAATGTTGATACAAAGTGTTTACAAATTTCATAAGATAATTTCTGATGATGTTTGTGTTTTTATGACTGAATGAAGACGGATGGCAGATAGTGAGCGATGGCGTGCTATCGGACGCACTGAAGAGGGACAGTCAGTCAAAGACATCGCTCTTTTTTTTTTTTTTTTTTTTTTGGCAATATTTATTGTATAATTTCTTGACTGTGAAAACAATTCTAAACTAAAACCTAAAATTAACAAGCTAAACAGTTGTCCGAAAACCTGCGCTCGGTTGACGCTGAGGTTACCACGCCTTGAAGATACGATAGATATATTGCTATAGTAGCCAAGCGGAATCGACGAGTGACCTCCACAACTCTTATATTCACGATTGCAGCGTCATTTGACAATATCTCTCAGTAATATAACGTAATATCGTAACGTAATATCTCTCAATACTGAGCTCCGAAGGCTTCACGCATGAAAGGAATTGTGAGGCAGAACGTTAAGTGTTTGTTTTCCATAAAGGTCCAGTTATGAGGGGATCATAAAGAGGTGTCTTCAACATCTGAATTAGACTTTCTTAGATTGACGCAATATTCTTTTCACGGACGAGTCCAGATTTGCCCTGAAATCAGATAAGCGTTTACGGGTCTGGAGAAAACGAAACATACGGAATCAGGCCCAGAGCAACATCAAACATCATAATTGAGAGGTAGCCGGGATACGCCCAACACTCCATTGTGAGACTCCAAGCTGCAGCAGTTAGTCCTGATTTCATCTTTAAGGAATGATAACGCCAGTTCTCATCCAGCCAATATTGTTAATAAATACCTAGAGATCGGATTATTTAATTATGGCAAAGCACACGAGGGCTCTCTGCCTAAAGGGAGGGATGCCTTCTGGAGGACTTTCTAAGGGAAACTGGTTCGTATACACGTTACACATGGGGAAAACCACGAAAATGCCCATGCAGCCAACCCGTTCGCGGGATTCGAGCCTCGGACCGAACAACCAGTGTTCAGCGTCTTTACCGCTCGGCCGCTGGTGGGCTAAGTACCTAGAGAGTGAGAGTATGGCCTCGTTCAGACGAGGGCGTAAAGAGCATAAGTGGTTAAAGCCGAGCTCCGTTGCCAAGGAAACCAGTCACTGCTACGTCACAGAATCTGGTTTAGGGCTCGTGGCATAGGGTTCCAAGTTTTCAACTTTATGCCGAGTTTGGGATAAGCTTCGACCAATCAGAGCGAAGCTGAAACGAAGCGGCTTTCTTCAGACGATTTCGCTGTCGCATCGAAGGTGACATTTTTTTTTTTTAATAGGGAACACATCGTAGCCGAGTGAGTTGTAATCGTATCCAAACGAAATAATGAGTTGTAATCGTATCCAAACGAAATAATGATTTGTAATCGTATCCGAACGAAATAGAGAGTTGATCTCGCAAGAAATCTACGATGATGACATGCATTTTTTAATGAGTTTTTAATGCACTTTTTAATGAGTTTTTCAATTTATATTGAAAAATATGGATGAAACTCGTAAAGCGAAAGTTCAGCTCAGGATTATGCACGCTGTGTATGATCCTGTAGATGATTGATCCCATCCAATATTTTTCATTTTATTATGAAAATTCTTTAAAAAAAATGCATGCTTGCAAAAATTTTATTTTTTCTGTGTAAATTTTTAATATTACTTTCTTTTTGTCTATAATTTTTTTTAAAAAATATTACTATAATTTTTTTCCTGTTTAATTATTTTTGTATTTAAGAATAAATTTATTAAAAAAGCTGGAAATATTGTATTGCTATTTGCTTCAAATGCTGATTTTCTTTCCAAACAAACTTCATGAATTAATTTTACTAAAACATCAAATCAATATCAAGAATCTTTAGCTTTAGTTTAGAATTGTTTTTTTAAACAGTAAAAATATTACTTTAAAAAAAATTATTTTCACTTATTTAAGAATATCACAATAGTCAATTCAATGGTGTAAGCTTTGAATAAGTAATAAAAGATTAATCTTTTGAGAAAATGCTCTTATGAATTCCAAGAAAGAAAAAATGTAGTGAAATATCCTTAAAACAACAGTCAACAGTCTAGACAGTTTTGTCTCCTGTTGAAGTTCTATTCTTCTGTTTTTTAATTACGTTCTCCATGAAAAGAATTTATTTTTAATGAAACTACTAAATATTCATAATGGACACTATAGTTTAATGAATAGTATTTATTATTATCCACTCTTTATTACTATCATTTGAATAGAATTTTGATCATTAAATTCATGCTATTTTCTAGTAGAAGAAATTGGATAAGGTATGAATGTTTATAATTTTGATGTATTTGAAGACTTGGGTACCTAAAATTTGTCAATGTGAAATTACTTTGAGATTTGGTCGCAAAATAGAAATGACAGCATATGTTGAAATTAAATTCAGGGGTGCGGCTTATACATGCAAATTATTAAAAATAGATGTATACAAACAGCTGGCAACACAGCAAAATGTATTTAATGATTGAGCATAAAATACATTCTTGGGTGAACGTTTCCTAGTATTGTACTAGTTGTGGTTGTTGGTCATTGTGACCAGTTGTGGGATACTAGTACTAGTGATAATTGATACTGGTAGTGCAGCAAACTACTACAGTGATCGACAGGGACAGTGAATAAGGAGTGCTAAGCACACATGTTTCACTGTCACAGAAACATGTTCCTTTTGATTGAAAATTAAAATAATAATAATAATAATAATAATGTATGGTAAGTACTGTTTTTAGCTTAACTGCTTTCATGCAATAAAATGGACAAATATTATACAGGCTATCTGTTAGTTATCCTCAAGATTTTTTTTTTAAATTAGGCATATTTAGAATATCGTATTTCTCTAAGAGAAATTATATATAAAGATTGAAGAAGGTTTTATATAGTATATAAATAAGCATGTGCATGTTTATAGTATAGAGAGTACTACAGTACAATGCAGAAATATTCCATACTGCTTTGCACAGAAAGATATGTACCAACCAAGTATTAGTCTGTCAAAAAAATATTTCTGGACCATTTCGTTATTTTTCTTTTTTTACCTTCTTCCGTTGCCTCTTGGCTTATAAGAAGGGCAGATAAAAGAGCATTCTGTTGAACCAGTAAAACTTTGTGTTGAGCTGAAAAAGCCATGATACAAAATAACGAAAACGAGCAGAGCGGACGCGAGAAATCAATTGAGCTAGAAAACAGAGCGCGAAAGGTCCAGACACATCCACGCATGCGCAAATTTAGCTTCTCTCATTGGCCACAGCTTAGACACCGTCTCGCAGGTGTGAACGGATGTCCCGTATTTTATGCCCTTATGACTATGCCTCTATGCGCTTTACGCCCACGTCTGAACGCACCTTATATCTCATATAGAGTGGCCGCCATCTTGCTTCGATCTTAATTCCACTGAAAATATATGGGATGCCTAGGGCGTGCTGTCCTTGCATGCTTATCTTCTCTAGCTAGTTGGAAACTGCTCACACATGATGCTTGTTTTCTTTCGTTGCATAAACACATTTCCTATCTTCATGTACAAATTTGCTGTTAATCAAAGTTTTACATTTTCGTTTTGGTGATTTTATTGTCGCGTACTTAACTTTTTGAAAGTCAGTACCTGAGAAGATAAATAACATATTTTTAAGGTTTGAAAAGTCATAAATTACTTTTGGCATATCATATGCTCCAATATTATAAATTAAAGAATGTTACATATTAGTAAATCACAAAAGAATATCATAGAATAATATCAAAGAAAAAAATCAACTTTGAATTATTTTAATTAATTTTAACAGATATCTGAAGGAAAGTTAGGGTTGGAGGGAATGGCAAATTTTGAAATTAAATGTCTATCGTACGGGAGTCAAAATTTTTATATATTATTTTTTATAATGAATCTAAGCTTTTACTAAATATAATTAAAGGGACCAAGAGACCGTATAAAAAGTTAGATTTCAAAACTTTTTGCAAAACTGATTTTTATTTAAACATAAAATTTCCAAAACACGAATATTAGTATCATTTAAAATATTCTTGTAATCGAAAGTATGTGTCTACAACCAACAATTACAAAAACAAGGTTTTGAGGACATGGTGTATAATCAAGAATTTGATTATAAACTATTCATCATTTACAATGCATTTAGACATAAAATGAAATTACCTTTGGAGGTTCTTCCGATATTCGGTATTTATTTAAATCCATAGAATATTCCAACTGGGCGGCCATTTCTTCGTCAATATTTTCCTCCACTATAGGCGAAAGTTTGCGAGTATTATATCCACCACTCCGGCAGAAGGAACGCTTTATTTTATTTGACGTTAAAATTTTCTTCAAGTTATTGAATTCTATATGCTCAACATCCGTTGCAATATTTTCCAGTGGGTTATTGATATAGATATTTGGAAAATTATCTGCTGCGAAAGGCGAAGTTTGCGATGAATTGTCTGGATTTTCCAGCTTATTACTGTCAAGTACTGTGAAGATGGAATGTAACATTCTTTTTATTTTTCGGTACATTTGATTTGAAACTTATGTAACTATTTGAAACAGATAAATATAAACAATCTTTGCATTAACTTAACTTTTGCAATAAAAGCATCTTTTCTTTTTTTAGGAGTACGCATACTCACGTGGCAAAATATGGTTTGATATACTGATTTTAGAAACCATTTTAAAGTCAGCATTTTGTTTCATAACTTTTGATTCATGAAAAATGTGGTGGAAACTAACTTGATTCTGAATAAAGTTGACTGGGCGAGAAGGTAAGTCTTCATAAGGATAAAATAAGTGGCAAAAAATTTTTTTTTTCAATTACAGTGATATTAGATTACTTATATAATAATAGTCTTCATATGTTCATTCATGAAAAGCTCGCGGCTAATGCACACTTTCTAATCTCTGCTCAAGATTTAATCTTGAAATATCAGAGTTCGCAATTTCTAAATTTTCTGAAGCAGACAAGATCTCCTCAAAGCTTGCTAAAAGAACTCTAGGAGTTTATAAAGCAAAAGAACGAAGGCAAACCACTCAACTCAGACTGGAAGCATCAATATAATCAATTATGGAATAGAATTAAAATAGAGCTCAAAATCTTCAAACAAGACAAACAGGAATAGTTCTTGAAATCGCTGATGATTGAAGATAATTCATTTTATGACTTTAATAGAAAACTAGTACACATGTACGGAAAGCCTTACTTATACGGAAGCCAAATTACCTTCCGTACACATAGGTAAATTTGGAATGATTCTTGATTCCAAATTTACCTTCAGCTATCATGTAAAGACTGTTGCAGAAAAAGGTACTTCCTTATTATAGCGGCCCCTAAAATTTAATCGCTAAACAATCGAGATGTAACTTGGAGCCAGGTATAACACGTGACGAGATATCTTGGTTGATTAGCGCTTCAATCTTGGGGGCCGCTATGATATGATAAGGAAGCACCCCTGCAATAAGCAACCTCTCTTCGGAAGCCTTAGCGATTTTTCCATCAGCAATAAAATTATACTGTATAAGTTACTGCTCAGACCTGCTCTCAATTACGCCTCCTCTGTCTGGCGTCATGCGGCGAAAAAAATATGTCATTCAAGGACAAGATCTTTCGACAAATTACAGGCGGCTTCTGGTACAGATGGCTTCTACATCATAAACAATGCAATCAGATCTCATCTTTCTGTTAAACATTGTCAAGACTCACTGCGATTCAGAAGATCACACTCTTTCGCATATAAAAATATCAGTTAAATCTACTTTAAGCCATAAACACATTCCATCGTTGTCACACATATTGTCCCAATAATGCTCCGTTTTTCTTTCATTTTCAGTTGGGAGTCATATTCCCACTCATTTACTCTTATCTACATTTCATTGCATTTTAGTTACCATAAATTATGATTCTTCCTCTTACACCCTTCCATGACTTTGTCCCCAGTTCTTCAGCATTAACGGTCCTCGCCTCTATACCATCGGTTGCCAACCAGTGGTCCGTAAAACCTTTTTGATGGTCCGCAGAAAAATTGGGACATTATTTATAATTTTTATGAAGACTGAGTTTAAAAAAGATGAGTAACAAAACCTATTATGGAATATGTATTATACTTTTTTAAAAATTTTAGCTACTACTTTTAGCGAAATTCCTTCTGAATTTAGTGACTTTTTAGCTATTTTTGCAGGTATATGTAGCGAAAGGGAGAGTTGGTATTCATGGATATGCTGCTGTTATCAATAATGGAATTCTCTTTTGAATTACAAACGTATGCTGTTGTAGTCGTTAACAATACAGTTTTTATCGGTGTCAATAGGCGACTTGATGGATTTTTTATGCGAAACATCTACATTCTTGTTTATGATTGCATCACTGGAAGTTTCCGTTTTGTCTAACTGTTGATCGGCGGCGCCATTGCGGAATAAGCGATGATTATGTTTACAATAATTAAAAATTGGCGGCATAACACTTTCAATTTATTGATTTGCTTTGCGTTTGCCGGTTTGTTCTTGCTTTTCGTGAAGTCCCTGTTGACTGATGTGGAAATGTGAAGCTTTCTGTACAAGAAGGTAAGACTTTTGCACTTTTCATATAATTTTTCAATGTGAACGAAATATGCGTATAAGTGAGATGTTAATGGTGTTTTAATTGTTACTCATAATCAGGGGAGTAGCCTGAATTTCCATAAAGGCATGCTGCTGAACACCAAAAATTGTATTAACAAATGAAAATTAAAATTCCTGCTTATTAATATGTTGACTTTAAGGTCTGGTTTAAGGGTGTTTTTTTTTAAATAATTCATATTAGTGAACCGCTAAGTGTAAAATTATATATGTAGTGGTCCGTGAAGTTCTAAGGGTTGACGACCACTGCTCTATACTGATTAAAAGTTTAAAAAATCTTCTATAATAAAAGGAGTAAAAGAGGTTCGTACCTCTGTCCCTCCATTAATCCCATGATCCAAACAGTCCAGTGTTAATTTTCTATTAGACATACAGTGGCGTAACGACGAAGGTGGGCAAGGGGGTGTATGATGCCCCGGCCGCCGCTCGCAGAGGGGCGCCAAATTGTCTCCAAACGAGCTTTTCCGGAAAATTTCAGTTTTTATTTTGATCGATTTCTGGAAAATGTATATAAAATTAATAATTATTGTAATATAATTATTTATTTTCTTGATTTATCTGATAAAATGTGTAATAAATGTTTATGCTTGCAGTACATCAATCAAATATCTCCGTATACAAAACGTTCTTTTTGACCACTTTTTCTTCTAAAATAGAGATTTTTTTTCTTTTAACGAAATGTATGTATAGCTCCCGCTTTTTATTTTAAAACGATAGCAAACAGTATAGTCTCATATTATAACCCTTCGACCTTGAACTATTATTTATTCGGAGGCTGAAACTATAGCTATAGAGAAATCTTTGATATGCATTTTACTTTTTAACATCAACTTGACGATTCCATTATTCAGTGAACAGTATGCGTCTGAAATTGTTATGTGATAACCACGTTCCGCCAAAGTTCTGTGCCCGTTTTTCTCATAGCCGCACCATCGACAGATACTCCACCGCAGCAAATCACGTGGTGCGTGGGGTGTTGATGTTAGTGTGTTTATGAAAGAGATCGAAAAATGCATGGGAATCTTTTTTTAAGTCCAGAAATTGTTATTGTTGACTTTCCGTTTAAAAATACCAGTGCTTCAATTGTGTTCGGATGAAGACAGTCACGCTAGGCTTATTTAGTACTCTCATTTACTTTTATTTCCTAACTACCGTTCTTCAAGGGGTAGCGCGGTTTAAATATTATTTTCCAATTAATCTCAATCTCGCTGCTAAGAGTGTCAGCCGTGTTTGTTTAGTAAGCGTGACATTAACGATAGCATTATAACCCTTCACTAACTTTTCTTCATTATTATGCACTTAGGCATATTTAATTGACTTCTTCCGTATAATCTTACCTTTATATTATGTTATACTCAGCAACTCTTTATTAGTATTTGTGCTTGTTTGCAAGTTATCTTTGTAATAGTATAATTAATTGGAATTTTGTTAAAGTAATTGTATTATTGTTTAACAAATAATTATCATAACGCGAATTTAGTACTTAGCTAACATTCAGTTTCTGCATCAGTTGCAAGCCTACCTTCACGCAAACTATCTTCTACGCATTATAACGTTTTATTATTATAGGCTAGTTGATTATTGAAATTTAAGAACAGTGTTATTTTATGTAGCATATGCAATATATTCTAGTGTTGAAATAGCCTACAAAAGATTTCTTAGTTCAAATACTTTATAAAAATGGAAAATCAAAGGGATAATTAATACCAGAAGCTTATAAATCCTTTTAAACCCTAATCGAACTAAGCTCCCCAATTTTCTATTTCAAGTCTAGAGCCCCCAAATATCCGCAGTAGCTAGCTTGTAAGGATTATGTTAATTTTATTAATAGTTAAATTTTTAATTAAACTTCCTTTCCTATCGCTTCTTAATTTCAACTTACCACTTTCGGCCAGAACATAGTTTTAGAATTACGTCTGAATACTAATGAGAAAGAGCGGTATATAACCGCGAAATTTTTTCACATCTTGTCTCTGTGACACCTTTTTTCTCTTTTTTTGTACTTCCAGGAACCCATATTGGATGACAACTGGCAAAAAGCCTGCAATCCACGCAGGCTAAGTCCAGTATAACAGCGGAAAATGGAATGGAATGGTCTGAGGGAGAGTGAGTGACGGAGGACGTGGGCACCATCCCTCGACCTTTACGGTTAATTGGTATGAGCACCACGTCCGCCCTTATCTAAAATGAGATAATTAGGTACTTAAGTTATCGCTACCCATTCAGACTTGCAATGGTACATATTGCCATACTCTGACTTGCATGACTATTATACATGCCGTACCATATTCGGACTTGCTTATTCATACTTGCATGGTGCATTTACATTCATATTGCATGGTACAAATTTCACACATTTCATATTACACATTACATTTACTGGGAAATTGAATATGGACTTATGTTAAGGTTCTTTGCATCCGTGAGGTTCAATTTTACGTTAATTATACATGATTAAATACTTAGGTTAACTCTATGCATTCATTATTATTTACAGACTTGCATGGTACATATTACACAGAGAGATTGGATTAATACTTATGTTAAAGGTACTTTACATCTTAGGTATTTAGGTTAACATATAGTTTAACACTACGCATTCATTATTGTTTACAGGTTTGCATGGTGCATATTATTCACATTACATAGTACAGATTATATTTACTCAGAAGACTTGCACTGTACATAGTACACGCATTACACAATACAGATTACATTTCTAAGAGTTTAATTATTAATTAATACTTGCATGGTACATATCATACACATTTCATAGTGCAGTTTACATTTACTGAGAGATTGATTAATACTTTTGTTTAGGGTACTTAATATTTATGTTTAAGGTACTTTACAGCTGTTTGGTTCAATTCTTACTATAAGTATGTATAGTTGGGTGCTTAGGTTAACACATAGATTGGCTTTACGCATTAATTATTATTTAAAGTTTGCATTGTGCATATTACATACATTGGTACATATAATGCACATTAAATAGTGCATACTAATTACAAGGGCAATCCCAAAAAAAGGTCTCCTATTTTTTGGGGACGTAGAGAAAGTTTTAATACGGTTGTTGGCAACACTGTTGTGAGTGGTGCCTTCTCCGCTACCACATAAGCACGCAGGCGCTTCGCTATGATACTCAGTCTTGGCTTGGCAGCCATTCGAAATGGAGCTCCCGATAAACGTTGCCGCCAAGTGGGAAGTGCGCGCAGTTATTCGATTTTTGAACGCAAAAGGCGTTAAACCGGTTGAAATTCACCGCCTATTGACGGAAGTGTATGGACAGTCATGCATGAATGTCAAAAACGTTCGCAAGTGGTGTAGAGAGTTTACAGCCGGTCGTACTAAAATTCATGACGAAGAAAGGAGCGGGAGGCCGTCAATTGCCGACGAGACAATCACGAAAGTTGAGGAACTCATGCGTAAAGATGAGTGTCGCTCTGGATGCTCTCTGCGTTTTGGTTCCTGAGGTTTCCAGAAGCACCATCCACAGGATTTTAACGGAAAAGTTGCAATATTGGAAGGTGTGTGCAAGATGGGTCCCACGTATGCTGACAGAAGACCACAAACGGCAACGGGTTGATTCTTCCCGCGAATTTCTTCGCCGCTATGGCGACGAAAAGGACAACTTCTTGGACTCGATTGACGCTTCCTGAAGGGCATGGCGGCAAGCTGGTATCACATGGGCATTGTAAAACTGCCACAGCGTCTACAAAAATGCATCGACCGAAGTGGCGATTATGTTGAAAAATAAAGCATTCTTCAATCTTTAATGTGATGTAGCAATTATAGAAAATAAACGGTTCTTTGTATATCTAAAAATATAGACCTTTTTTTTTTGGGATTGCCCTCGTAATTAGCATGGTACATGTTACACACAATTACTGAGACATGGGGTATATTTGCATGGTACATATTACACACAATTACTGAGACATGGGGTATATTTGCATGGTACATATTACACACATTTACAGTTTACACTTACTAAGAACACAATTGCTGAGAATATTAGCATGTTACATATTACAATAATATTAACATGGTACATATTGCACACATTAAATAGTACAGATTATAATTACTGAGAAATTTAAGAGTACTTATTTCCGTTATATTCAGACTTGCATGGTACCTATTACAGACTGAGTAAAAACTTTAAGGCCAGTAAAAAGTTTTGAGAAAATGTAAAATGAAATAAAAGGGATTCAAATAATATTAATTAACAAAGTTCAGTTATAAAAAATAAATGCTATATACATAATTTGTAAATACATAATTATGAGAAACGTGGTTATTTACAAAGTTAGTATTTCTGCCTGAGTAAAAACTTTAAGGCCACCAGTCATTTTTTTAAAATAAATATAATATAATCGCATAATTACCATTGCAACTACTATCTTGTGACAACGCTGCAATTTTCATATTTGTCATACGTTTCTTCGAAGTATTGGTGATCTTTGTGAAGATGGCGAAGGGTAAGAAGTTAACTTGATCGTGAAAGAGGAAGAGATCGAAGCTTTGTCTTCAACAGGAATGAGTAGTAGTGCTATTGCGATAAAGATATGGAAGATCAAAGACTGGTGTCAACAATTTTTTTTTTAAATTGAAAGACAATTATGGTAAAAAGAATACTGGGGGAAGACCTAAAGCTTTGTCCTCGCGTGATGAAAGAAGAGTTTGCCAACTTGTATCTACTGGAAAGTACTCAACCAGGAAACTGATTCCGACGACAGGTTTAAAAGTTTGTCAAAAAACGATTTATAACACAATTAGAAGGTCTGGAACTTATACAGCTAAATTGACTAACCCTCAGTTACTGCAGAGACACAAAATAGAGCGTTTGAACTTTGGCCAGAAAGTCATGACATGGGACAACCAATGGATAGATATTATTTTTTTCTGACCCCCC